CTTTATGTGACCTAGGGTCCAGGGTTTAGGGTTTAGNNTTAGGGTTTAGGGTTTACGGCCCTGGGGTCTAAGGTTAGGGCACGCAGGGTCTAGGGTTCGGGCGCGGTGTTTAGGGATGTGGGGCTGAGGAAACACTGACAAATACTGGCTCGGGTTCAAGACACACCGGGCTCAGGGTGGGGTGGGGGGGGGGGGGGTGAAAGGGCTAGTCTTGACATGGTGGGTGTAGGAGTTTGCGTCTGTGGGCCTGCGCTGACGTTTGGTAGTTGCTGAAGACAATCAGAGCTCGCTGCAAGTGACTACAAAGATGCTTATTCTCACCAGAGCCACAGGTCTAGAAGGAACCCAAATCTCAAAGAGCCACCACCTCTACAGCTTACACACCCAAACCCGAACCTTGATCCCGAAGTCTTGCTTACTTACAGAAGTAACCCAAACAGTAAACCAGCCACCCCAGCTAAGTTTTTGCGTTAGCACGACTGCAGAAAGTGATGGCATATTCCAACCCCTCCCCAGCCAAATCATACCGAGACGCGTTGGCTTCCGGGAGCACTTGATGGCACCCACAAGCAGCAGGCAAAAGCGTGCGTGCTAAAAACAGACACAAAGCTTGAGAGACAGACATGTGCAGGCATCACTGCAGCCAAGCTTCACTCACTTGTGACATCATACCCTGTGTCAGCTTTGTAGCTGAACGACAAAGACTCTTGACATGAATTCCGGGCCCTGCACATGGTAGCAAGGCCGAGGTCACATGACGTAGCAGGCAAGACACCACTTTTCCCCCCATCCATTTCTGGAGGATTTTGCGGCTGCAAGAGTCTTGAAACCTGGATCATCTCTCCAGTGTGGATGCACCCTGTTTAGGGTTTAGGGTTTAGGGTTTAGGGTTTAGGGTTTAGGGCCTCGTCCTGAAACCTACATCATCATATCTTTGACGTCACGCATGGGGGCTTCGCGCACCTGAATCTTTCAAACTCTTGAAGCTAGGGCTCACAGCTGTACTCCTGTAGCTGAAGCCAACGGATTTCTGTATATAAGCTGGTGTTTCGTCTTAAAAGTATACTTACACTACTTACACACATTGCTATTCTGACCACTTCATTCGTACCAATGTCCATATGACTCTACCGGATTGTTGTTTCTCGGCTTCTGCCGGGTTTCCTGGCAGACTCAGAGAACAACAGGGCTCTACCCTGTGCTTCCTGTTTCTGAAGAACTGCCGAAAAGGTTGCAGAACACAGCACGCCAGTGAATTCGGCTGGTCAGCCGCCGGCCGCCGACTCCAGTAACTTACATACTGGGCTAGACCTCCACAAAGACCGAGACTTCCGTGCACCTCTCACATTTCTGCCCCAGGTGCGTAGACACTAAACCTAAACCCTAAATGCTAGGTAACCTACGAAAAATGTGAGAGAGTTTTCAACCTGGCAGCAGTACGGTCTACTTTTCATCTCAGGAATCAAGAACCCAGCAACCACGTCTTCCTGGCGACTGACAAGCGGGATTCAATACTACGGTGGAGCCAGGACTATCTACCGTTACAGACCCGACGCCGTTCGCCTTCACCCCTAAACCCTACTGTAGGGGCCTCGATAGTCAGAATAGGGTTTTGGGGGTTCCTTCTTATAAATATAGTATAATGGGCTCCAACAACCTATTCCAGTTATTGAGGCCTCTATACTAAACCTTCAACCCCAAAGGCGAGGGTTAAAAAACAAGTCCTAAGCCTAAGACTGCTGATGAGATGCCCTAAACCCTAAAACATAAACCCCAAACCCTACACCCTAGACCTGAAACCCCTAAAAAAACCCGAAACCCTAAAGCCCTAAACCATAAAACCCCAAAAAAACACAAAAGCCCTAAACCACGAACCTTAACCCCAAACCCTAAACCCTAAACCCCAAAAAACACAAAAGCCCTAAACCATGAACCCCTTCACGAGCTCGCCCTCACAGCACAGCAGTGAATTTGAGCCTCGGTGTCCGTAAGGCTTCACACTTCACTGCTTCGGGGCTTCGGGTTTAGGGTTTAGGGTTTAGGGATTAGGGTTTAGGGGTTTGGGGTTAGGGGTTAGAGCTTTACCCGAGCCCAGCCTGCAGTTAAGGTCTTAAGCAAGGCTTGTGGGGTTAAAGGGCACAACTCTTCAACCGTCGTAGATGCCTTCATGTGCCTGACAACAAGGGCTTACATGATTCGAACTGCTTGTCGGGGGAAGATCAGACTAGGGTTTAGGGTTTAGGGTTTAGGGTTTAGGGTTTAGGGTTTAGGGTTTAGGGTTTAGGGTTTAGGGTTTAGGGTTTAGGGCTCAGGGTTGCTACTTGTTTAGGGCTTCGGGATTCAGGGTTTGCTGCATGCCCGCAAAGAAAACCCTGACCGTGGAATCAGCCCCATGATTGCTGTCTGAAGCGCTAGGGTTTAGGGTTTAGGGTTTAGGGTTTAGGGTTTAGGGTTTAGGGTTTTAGAAATCTCCAGAGCTGGAGATCACTTGCTGACCACGGCTTATGCCAGTCCTGAAACCATGGCGCGCGGTCGCAACTCTCACTCCTTTTTTCCCCTCACACAAAACACAGTCTTGGCTTCGCACAAAAGCTCTACGATAGCACTGGTGACTTGTTGTACATAGGGGTGTCACACTGTTTCGCTATCTAGCGTGCGGCACAAGGACCTGATTCGTAGCCGTCCTTGATCCACCTATCCGGCATTTGCACTGCTGCTCTGACATGCCTGACAGATCAGACACCTGCACTGCTGCTCTGACATGCCTGACAATCTACACTCCTCCTCCATCTGACTGCTAAGGCCAGATTGATCACCTGTTCTTCAGAGCATGTATGAGCGCGCTGATCCTCTGGCGATCAACGATCTCGCAGTATCTCAGCGTGTGCTTCCAGCTAAGATCTCTCGCACGCCAAAGCCATAGTACATATTTGAGCTGTCGGGCTGTCGGTCCGGTAGGTGATCTTGCTATCTGCATCAGCCTTTCGCCCAATCTACTCGCTAAATCATCCTTAAGACCGGATACGGGCAGCCCTTCAGTGCGAAGACCTTCCTTAAGAGCCTCGCACGTCATCAACCCACATGCATCAACGCAGATCCTCATCATCTCGCTCGAAGCCTCTTGTTGATCACTTCCCGGCGACAACACTGGGGACGGTGCTGGAATTTCCACTCTTGGCCTCGGGCTTGGAGTTCTCGGTGTCCATGCTGCTGGTAAAGTAGGACTCGAAGATCTGGCTGGTTGCATTCGTCTTTCTTGGATCTCACTCCTCCTTCCGGACATAGAGCTCGAAGGTCGAGCTTCTGTAGGTGGTCTTGACATAGACGTCGACGAGCTGGGTTGCCCCGGGTCAGGAGTGCTGGTATAAGTCGCACTTTCTGACTGCAACCGCTCCAGCTCCCTCTCAATCGCTTCTGTCGTTGCCGCCTGTAACTTCCGTAGTCGACGTAGCCGTCTTGCGCCTGAACCTGGTATCCACTCATTGCAGATTTCCAGCATCGACCACTTGATCGTCTCGTAGATCAACAATCCACCAAGCAGCATTAGCAAAATCATCAGGGCATTCGCTAAGTCCGCGTCAACTTGTAGTCCCTGTGGTGAACTTTGCTGATTCTGACTAGCGGCCTGTGCAGACACCAGCAATAAACAGCAAATCACGGCCAACAGGGCTCTGGCTGACACCTTGACTGTAGACATAGATGGGGGGCTAGATGCTCTGCTTTCCCCAACGTGCCACCATTGTAGAAGTGTCTCAAGCCTGGCTGAACTCAACGCCTTTGTAAGTAAATCAGCCGGTTGTTTTTCCCCCGGCCAGTGGATCACCTTGAAGATTCCTCCATCTATTTGCTCTTGTAACCATCCTGCTTTTATACGTAGATGGCGTGTTCTCCAGCTGCTTGATCCTGAGGCAATACTCAGCGCCGAAGTTGAATCTGTGGCTATTGTTCGCTCTGCAATCTTCTCCCCGATATCCGCTAGGATTGCCTCCGTGCTCTTGGCTGCGACCGCTCCCTCCAGTAATGCAAGTAGCTCTGCTTCCGCCGTACTCAAGGTGATCATACTTTGTCTTCCACTTCTCCACGATATCGGCACACCTCCATACATCACGACCCAGCCTCCATGCGAACGACATCCCTGAGGCGCATATGATGCGTCCGAGTACATTATCAGGCCTTGGTCTCGCCAGTCGATGACCAGCCCATATCCACTCGTCCGCTGCAAATAGCCAAGGATTTTTCGGCCGATGCCCAAAGTTTGAGTTGGATTCCTTGTACACAGAGAGGCCATAATGCAGGTAGCAAACGACAAATCTGGGCGGGTACGCTGGGCCACCCAGAGCACTTCCCCGGTTATCTGCTGTGCATCCCGGGTCACTTCTGGGTCGTTGGCTTCCTGGATGTCTGGTAGGACTGAGAGCTCCTTGGTGATAGGGATCTTATCCAGGTGAACGGGCTTCACATCATGCGTTCTGAGAAGCTCTTGTATGTACCCTTGCTGAAGCACCAAGATTTCTGTGGCATCTTCTGCTTCCCGCTGTAGCTCCATGCCAAGGAACCTAATTGGACTCCCCGGCCCCAAGAATGTCAACTCTGAAGTCTCCCAGACTCGCTGAACCATATCGCCCAGCTCGGTGACGATCTCACGTGGACCACATATCATAAAATCGTCCACATACACCACCACCAGCGCTGTCAATTGACCCTCACTGTCCAGGATCGACCACCATGAAGTAATGGCCTTCCCTTGCTTCCACTTGAGACCTCGGGGTGACTCCAGATCTCGAAGTGTATCGTCTCTGAAATTTCCCCATAGTAGAGGCGCTTCTCGTAATCCATAAAGTGCTCGTAGAAGTCCCCATAACTCCATTTTCACTGAGATCCCCAGAAACTCCAGCAATTTAGGCGGTTGCGCCACCACCACCGGATCCCTTGGTGATCTTCCCAGTGGTGTCTTAAGAAACGCTGCCACCACATCGAGGATTGCTATGCACCAGCGATTTCTACTCGAGATCGTCAGCCCGGTCCGCACTGCTTTCGTTCACGGCAAAGTTGCCGCAGATCACCAATCTCGACTTCCGCTTGAACCATGTGGACTTGTCCTCCACCACCGCTTTGTCGTTAGGCTTCACCGTGAAAACAAACTTCATTGGCAAGCGCTGAATCTTGGGATTTCCCAACCATCTCCTCCTCGCTTCAGAACCTGGTGGCAATCTTTCGATAGCTCCCTCAATGCCTGCCAGCTCCTTCAGGATCGATGGCCGCCATGCTTCCAGGTTTGCCAACACTTCATCTGGGCTGACTGCGTGGGTGACATCCAGAGGTCCTGTTAACTGAGAGAGCACTTCCTCAATCTTTGGGGTGTAGTTTACCTCGACCTTATTCAATCGAGGATCGATGTTCTCCTCCTCAACTGCATCGGCGATCTTGACCGTGCCCTCCTCGAGCTGCAAATACATTGACCATGGTGAGTCATCACTCTCTTCTTGCCCATGCTGCGGTGTCTCAACTGCTGCAGCCCGAATCACGTCTCCTGTACTCAGATCTCCATGGAATTCCGGTAGTTGAGAAAGAGGTACTGCAAACCCATGATCATGGAGTGCTTCTAGGTCCTGTTGTCCTAGCTTTCCCAGGCAGTTTGGTGTGTAACCAATGATCACCACACGGTTGCCCTTCCATGGAGAAGTCTCATGAAAGCGCTGTGGACCAAACTCGATGCTCTCTCCTTGAACTAGGGGCAACATCTGTCCAAATAGCATCTGCTTCCCATTACTTCGCTGCTCAATTGTCCCATGCACAACATCCCCGGCCTTCAGCTCTATCCACAGCTCACCTCCTTGATCAGGACAACGAATTGGAACCACAACATTCTTGGTGGCATAGTCATTGTTGAAGTCCTTGTGCATTGTTCGGGGTGTGTTGTGCGACACGAGAACTGAAGTGAACGTCGCTTCCGGGTTAATCTCCAGGACAATCTTGGTCAGCAGCTTAGTAAGGTCCGGAAACTCCTCGACGCTCGACAGCCATCCGACCGTTCCTCCATGACGATAAACACCAAACTTCCTGTGCTCGAAGAAGCCCCCTCCAGCCAGCTTCTCCACTAAATCCATAGCTTGCACCAAGCTCCAGTCATTTGTGATCTCCTTGGCCTTAGTGGTCGCCAGCTCCTTGATCTCGTCTGACGTCATCGCCATAGCCTGCATTTGAACATCCTTGGGGTCCGTTTTCTCCGTAACCCTCCTCCTCGGTTTAGGAGGTGTTGTGATGTAGAGATCGTCATCTGGAGCTCCTGGATCAACTAAATTAGCTCGAACATGCATGGTGTGCAGGAACTTCTCTTTCTCATCCCCATCTTGCGGAACATACACCAAGTGCCCATTGTGGACAATGCTGCTCAAACCCACATACTTGCCCACTAGCCATTTGCTCTCCAGTCCAAGCTCTCGCCGTAGGGGTCCTGCCTTATCGAATCCCTTCTTCCGTAGGTGTACTGGCGCTCCGTACGGGGCTGCAAGCTGAGATTTCCACCCCAGCACCTTAGCTCTCTGTTCTGCTGCTGCTGTTGCCGCCGCCGTTGGCCACAACCGCATGGGTAGGCCTGATGCCCGCAGTAGCGTCCGCGTGCGATCCTTGATCCATCGCACTGTAGACTCTGCTTGTCCATTTCCTTGAGGTACACTGGGCTCGGACCACGTTCCATAGACTCCTTGATCGCGTAGCCAATTTCGAAACCCATGGTTGTAGAACTCCCCTTTGTCGGCATGGAAGCGGTAAATAGGAAACCCATGGTTTTGTAGATATAGCACCATATCTTGTACTCCACGCTTGACGGTCGCCGATTGGTTATTCGATAGAGCGACCGCGAACGTTAGGAACGTCATCTCTGGGGCCACGCAATCACCATGCTCCATCACGACATCTGAAGGACGCTCAACCTCCTCCTCAGCAGGTTCCTCCTCCGGAACTGGTTCTTGATCGTCGCACTCAGCCACCTCTTCACTGATCTCCACATCATCCCTTTCATCCCTGGCAATCCCAATCACCTCCACCTGCGGAACTTCGGGTAGTGGCAAATCCCTCACTTCAGACTCACCAAACAACTCCTCCATGTCGCGCTGCTGCTCCTCGGTGAGAGGCAGCGCTTCGGGGGCCTGCTCGGTGCTACTGTCCAAAGACGCAGAGCTGCCAAAGCACTCTTCAATGAATTGCTTTGGAACCAGATACTTCCCTATAAGTAGGTAGCGGAGCCCCTTTCCCAGAGCACCCTTCGACGTGGCATCTAGTCCCGGGCTGAGCGGTCCAGCAACATCGGCAGTTAAGACATATGCTTCTGGATGATGAATCCGTCGATGTTGGCGTCCCAGACCTCGAGACATGACACAGGTAGCACAATCCTTCCGATAAACCGCATGATTGGTCCGAACGTGGGTCTTCCACTGCTCTGCTGTCATCGCACACAGTCGAGGAGCACATTGCGGATGACGCTCCCAACCACTTAGCGCCACTTTGATGGCTCTTACCAGGCCAGGTGCCCAGATATAATCTCGGTCTCCATGTAGTGGGGCAGGATCATCCTCTGGTAGTCGGACTTCGTTCAGAGCAATCAAGGAATTGACATTGGTCCCCAAAGTAGTGCAGTTTCGTGCGGAACCTCCCATTGCTCCTTGATCGAACGACACTGTCCTCATTTCCAGCTCACGCTGAAAGGCCTTCCACATCCTTGTGTCCCAAAATGCGACATCACCATTGAGTGTGCTTCTACCGACTTGGTCTTCCCATCGAGGTCGCTGAACTTGCTCCCAATAGCGCCTAGTCTGTTCCCATGACGCCCCCTGGCCTCGACCAGGTACTCTTGAAGCATCCTCGGCCCGCTGAATCTCCTGCTCGCGAGCTTGCCGTTGGGAAGCTAAGAAACCTTCTGGGTACTCGATGACAAACGCCACGTCTCGATCTACATTGATTCCACTTGCATTCAGCTCACGACCAGCTTGGGCCACAGCATATAACCACATCATCCTGGCAATTAGCTTCAGGGAATTAACATCTCTCTCCCCACCATTGCAGTGCTGATGTAGTCGCCCTGGAGGTCCTCCTAGCACCACATCCACTTTGCCATGCTTTGCTCCCCAAAGTAGCATACGCCATACTTCGTCGCGTAGAATGCTGTGTCCACTGCAGCGGGCTAGATCCAACTCCACAACTGATGTCTCACCTTGATCCAGCTGCATCAGTTCCCAGTGCCCTTCCTTGCCCGCGAACAAGTGGACCACCCATCTCTTGCTCCCCATAAGCTTCCTCCTCTGCGGCCTTGTAAGGAAACCATTGAGCTTGAAGATCTCCCAACCATTTTCCAGACCAGCACCGGGAATGAGTCCCGAGATGCACTCACCCGGTAAGTCCTCGAAAAACGGTGCATCCCGAACTGCTCGAAGTCCGGACTCAAATGATCCCTTCCCCACATAGTCGTACAAATAGTGGTTCCAATGCCGCTCCATTGCCATTGCAGAAAGACCCACCTTGTCCCTCGTAGTCAGCGTCTCGTTCTCCAGGCGCTCCAGCTTTCTATCCTCCATCCGTGCGATCAGTGACAAGGCCTCCATCTCACACATCTGAGGACACCCTCCGGTAACTTGAAGAGGAATTCGACGGCCCTCTGGGGATTGCAGGGTACACTCATCCGGACTCCACACCATGGTATATCCAAGCGTCTCTATCAGCTTTCCCATGGGGACAATAGTTTGCGCCTTGATTGCAAGCCGCTCTTTGCCTTCACGGTCTTCCTGTCGTGGCATCAGGAGTGTTCCTGACGTGGTAATCCTCATCGTAAGGTGGTGGTTCCCCGCCAACTGCACTGCCACCTCCTCCGCTTCCAGCCACTCTTGAGCATTCGCAGCTGAGCGTAAGCTGTGGGTCGCTCCGCTGTCCAGTAGCGCAGTCGCCGCCGCTTCCATCGAGCAAACCCGGATGTCCATCAGCCGCAAGGTTTTAATCGTGGGACGTGTCTTTTCTGGAGAGCCGTCTGACGGAGGCTCCGTCCCCTGCTGCACCACTTGCTGTGCAGCTTGCATAAGTGCTTCCAATGTCCACGGCACCCCTGGTGTAGGATCTCCAGTAGAGGAAGTAGAAGAGGCTGTAGTGGCCATGGATGCCATAGTGCTTTGCTGCGACGTAGGCTCCCGGTTCCCTGCTGCATCCCTGCCTCCTTTTCCTCCTGGACTACCTGCTCCCTTCGCCGCAGGCTTCCCGACTGTGCACTCTCGCTGTCTGTGTGATTCTGAACCACATCTAAGGCACTTCTTTGCTCGCTGCTCCCGGTCAAGGCCTGACATTGAGTGCGAATAGGTGCAGCGATCTCCTCTGCGGCACCCCGAAGCCTTCGTGAAGTAGCGACACAGCTCCGTCGCTGCTCCTGTGGGAGCTCGCGCTGCGCCGTCCTTAGCCTTCGGCTGTAGTGCATCCACCGCTTTCACCCTTGGTCCAGAAACTGCAGTGGATGACATACTCGTACTAGCTGACATAGTCTCCAGCTCAGCCTGTAAGTGTCTTTGATAACCTAGCACGCTTTCCATCGACGGCTGGGCATCCAAGCGCAGTGAAGTTCGCAGCATGGAAGTACGGAACGCAGCATCTGGGGACTGATTGATGTACTTGTCTGTAAGCCCTGACAGTCCACGAACCAAGACTGACGGGTCCGGTGGACTCATATTCACCGCTCTGCACCTCGCAAGAAGTCGCGGCCACGATCTCACCAGCTTCAGCACCTCCTCCAGAGAGTCCGCGCTCAGGTAGTCACGAGGAGCTTGCAACCTGACCAATACATCAGACCGCTCTGCAGACCCTCCTGGCTGGTACATAGTATGAAGCCTGTAAACCATACGCACCACATTCTGAGAAATCCTCTGGGTAACCATCTCTCCACGAAGGTCTGTAGTCATCGCTGCAAGCAACATGGAAGCTACTCGTGCATTAAGCCTTGCCCACTTTCCGGTAGACAGCTCGTCTGCACCATCAGGAGCTATCGCCAAGCGCTCTAGCGGGGTAGCCCGCAGCCACCTGTCATAGGTATCATTCACAACGTGGACGACTGCCTTCCACCATTGGCTACTTTGCTCGCTTACATCTCCAAGCACAGACGACGAAACCTCAAGCCAGTCCTGAAACGACAGTGCTGCTTCACACCCACCTTTAAGATCTGGTAGCGGAGCCAATGCCATCGTGCCGGGCTTGAGGATCTCCGCATTCGTCGTGGCCCCGGCACCCTTAGCCAGAGCTTGTGCCTGAAGTTCTTGCAGCTGCTGCATACCCTTGGTCAACACATCCAAGGTTGGAGATCCAGCTGGCTCCGCCGTCGGGCGCTTTGGTGGCGGGGTCTGACTTCTGGTTCTCCCTCCCCACCATGTTCGTAGCAATCCTGGAGCTTCATCACCCATTCTTGCCTTAGGTTCTGGCAAACCCGTACTTTCCTCCTCTGCATTGTAGTTGGGAGCCCCTTCACCATCATGTCTGCCTCCACGTCGCTGCACTCCATCACCCCTTAGCTCAGCTGGAAGTCGTGGTACTGTACCAAGATCACCTTGGAATAGGCCGACATGTACTCGCTCCGAGGCATCAAGACGCGGTAGAGGAACTTCTTCGGGTGGTACTGTAGGGGGATGAGCTCCTACTTGTTGTGCAAATAAACCAGCCTGATCCTCAGCGCATACTGGAAGACCTGATAGAGTCCCGGGACCTAATGGAGCTGTAGCAAGATCCCCTAGAAGAGCTCTTGTAGATCGCCGGTCCACATTGTCAGCGTGCGCTTCTCTTAGTTGACTCCTGGCTTCATCTAGCTCATGCTGAAGTCGTTCATTTCTCCCGCCGAACTCCCTCAACTGAGAAAGCACTCCATGCAGCTGTCTTTGCACCTCAGCTTGAATGGCCTCCGCAGGTATATCCGACGACGATGGCGGAGTAGGTGCCGCCGGGATTGGACGGGCCTTCGCTGGTGAGCGCAATCTGAATGGAGCACCTCCTGGGGGAGTAGTGTATAAGGGAGAAGATCCCGGAAAAGGACTAGGCGCCAGGTCCACCATTGGTCCTCCTGACGATCCATTCAATAAGCTTCCCAATCTCATCACCCACCTCGGCACTTCCATCGCCGAGATCCACGACGGTTGATTGCCACCCCTCTGCCCAGTCATAGGCCTTGGAGTAACGTAGCCATCCGGTAGTCCAGCAGGTCGCGGTTGCTCACCTCGAGGCTCCTGCTCTGATCGCCCACCTGCATCCACTGACGTCAAGGCCATCTTGGGCCCCGCCTGCACTGGCACAGTTGTGGTCTCAGAGATCGAAGAAGGTTGAGCAGCTTCTGCCACTTGCAGCTCTCCAAGCGCCACCTCGGTAGGTCCCACATCCAGAGTCTGCTGCTGATCGGGACTTCTTGTCCCCATTCCAGATGGCATCACTTCGGGCTGAGAACTCATCAGCCCACTGCAGGTTGGAGCTTCTCTGTCTCCAGTTCCATTTGGCATCTGCGCAGCGGCCCCTATTGCTTGGGCGCTCATAACCTAGAAATCTCCAGAGCTGGAGATCACTTGCTGACCACGGCTTATGCCAGTCCTGAAACCATGGCGCGCGGTCGCAACTCTCACTCCTTTTTTTCCCTCACACAAAACACAGTCTTGGCTTCGCACAAAAGCTCTACGATAGCACTGGTGACTTGTTGTACATAGGGGTGTCACACTGTTTCGCTATCTAGCGTGCGGCACAAGGACCTGATTCGTAGCCGTCCTTGATCCACATATCCGGCATTTGCACTGCTGCTCTGACATGCCTGACAGATCAGACACCTGCACTGCTGCTCTGACATGCCTGACAATCTACAGGTTTAGGGTTTAGTGTTTGGGGTTGAGGGATGGCCTCTGTCCTGTCTATCTCACCTGCCAAGCATCTCAAGCAGGCAGAGAGCACGAAAGCTGAGTCTTACGAGGAGTGAAGCATAAAACCCTAAACCTAAACCCAAAGCCCCCCCTAGCAAAGCCGGGAGAGGTTCGGCTTCGGCAAGAGATCATCCCTGGCCCTAAACTCACCATACACCCAAAAGGTGATCCTAACCCGAAATCAAAAACGAAAGTTTCGAAGTTCCTTGCCCACCAAGGCCAAGAAACCCATACCTACGGCTGGCACAGCACTTCAGATGCCCCAGTATACTTTGATTACGGACATCCTTTAAGGTGTGATGGACTTCTGCAATGTGATCTGAAGCGTTTTGTTAGTTCAAGTAGCTCGACACAAAAAATACCTTCAGTACCCGAAAACTCTCTCACAGCAACGAAACCTCGTTGTACGTTTACGCCCCAAAATCTCTACCCCCTAGAGCCTGAAACCCGCAAGAGCCCTACAGCACGAAGTGCTTCTGCGGCCCAAGCCCGCGTGAGCGGCGGCGAGACATGCCCCAACTGGGCCGCGCAAAGGCCGATCGTTAACGCAACAATGCAGTATATTAGCATATCAAAGTCCACTATCGCCTTTTATAACTTTCTGAAGTAAGATTTTGTAGTAGATTTGTTTAGTCTTGCTCATACATCAACACCATCAGCACCAGCATCAGCCGACTCATTGACATCTCGGTCGTCATCGTCGGCATTGTCGACATGGATACCATCATCACCATCATTACTCCTATCATCAGTATTGCCACCACCACTCGCTGCTGTCACCGCCAATGATTCCGACACTCATGTAGACTGTCATTACCATGATGACTATGACGGCAATCATTTCTGCTACGATGCTCCCAAGTAGCAAGAAGATGGAACACTTGGCAACTATGGTGACCCTGGCAGCTACGATGACCATAGCAACTGGCACGTCGAGGATGAGTGTTGTGACAGTGCCCAAGAGTAGCAGACTAGCGTTGCCCCCTAGTTGAACCCTGAACCTGAACCCAAACTCCCGAATCTGAAACCCTTACATGTTGGACTAAGGCCCTGAACGGTAAGTAAACGAAGAACTACAGCTCATAACCCTAAACCCACTGTTGTCACAATTCCCGTGCAATGAAAGAAGTGCTAAAGGGAATGCTGGTCGCCTGTGCTCGCACGCAAGAACCGACGTTCCTATACAACAAACCCAGGAACTGGACGGCATGGGATTTGGGATTTGCGGCTGGGGACTTCGGGTTTACGGTTTGGGATTATTTGTGTAGTCCAGGTTTCAGGCTTTCATTTTTTTTACGGGGGCTGCAAGGTGTCGAATTTCGGCTGTCGGTCTTTACCCGAAGCATACCCCAAGAACAAAAGGATCACGTGGGGCTGGGGCCTAGACCCACATGCTCAAAGCACGACACGAAACATAATGTTGTTGCCCTTGGGGATTCTCTGTAGTAACCCTGGAAGGAACCCTGTTAACGTTATGAAAATTCTTACCCTAAACCCTAAACCCTAAACCCTAAACCGTCTAGACATGAGGTCCCGACTGGACCGCACTGGGAAGGAATGTCCGGCCCCTTCAGATGCCCAAGTGGGAGTTTCTGAAAATAAGGGGTCCCTTACTTTGGGGTCCTTATAATAAGGATCCTACTATTTAAGGTACTATATTAGGGTCCCCTATGTTCGGAAACCCCCAAGTGTTGGCTTGAGGTTGCTGATCATCAATGCAAAGAACCCCGAATATAATGCTGAGCCTTATGATGACTGCTATCACGAAGCTGATGCAGAAACAGATGAAGATGATGATGATGATGGTGATGATGGTGATGATGGTGATCATGATGCTGATGATGATGGCGATGATGATGATGATGATGATGAAGAAGATAATGATGACGATGACGATGATGATGGTGACGGTGGTGGTGATGATGATGATGATGGTTCTCATGATGATGATGCTGATGATGATGATGATGAAGATGGTAGTGGCGATGATGATGGTGGTGGCGATGATGATGGTAATGATGGTAATGATGGTAATGATGGTGATTGGTCACGATGGATTTTGCACGATGATATTGCCGGTGATGGTAAAGAAGAAGATGATCATCATCATCATAACCGGTTTTGCTAGTACGGATACTATTGCCAGCATTGTGCTTGATACTTTCTCATTGTTCTGATCGTCGTTATCATGATGAAATTATTGACGGTGACGACCGCGACGGCTGCTGAGAGCTTTGGGGCTCAATGCTCCGGGCTCTGTGCATCTCAAGACGTACAGTCTGACACTTCGAACTTATGTTCCCTCCAGGGTTACTTAAAGGATCATGGGACTTAGTAAGTAGGGTGATAATTAGGGTAAAAATACTTATAACCCCAATTAAGGGGATTTCGTGCTCAGGCTTTGAAGCTCGGAAGACCATCGAACCAATGCAGGGTGTGGCGGCTTAACAGCCGAATTCCACTGTAAAACCGCTGCTTCGGAAATTACCACCTGGCTTGGAACAACCCTCCATGTGAGCTCAAAGCACACGTGGAGAAAAAGAACTACAAATAGACTAATGAACAATCGAACTATTCAACCGCAAGTCCTAAAACCTCTACCCGAAGCCCTAAACCGTCACCTGTAGTGGACTGAGCTTCAAGCCCATCGGGTGTGCGTCCCTGCACGGCCTTGCAGACGAATCTCTGGCATACTCTACTACGAACTGCAACAATGCAGTGACCTTAATAGTTAGAATAGGGTTTTGAGATATATAATAGTGTAACTATAAGACCCAACCCCCAAACTGGTATTGGTAATTGTTTAGGCCCTGATGTTCGTCGGACAGCATCCGTCAGACGATCGACGGAATATTCCCAGATTGCTTGTGTCGGAAGACGTGGGTATCGCGCTGAGAGCATAGGACGATCTCAAGAATGTATGTGATTTACACGACAGGAACTATGCAGCATATTTTCCGACAATATACTGGAACCATAACAGCAGCAATAATAAACCAAATAAGACAGAAGACTGCGCAAAAAGGAGAGTAGATATATTCTGTGCACAACACCGTAGCACACATGTTCAAACATTGTTTCACATGCGTATGCAAGATATACACATTACACACAAACACAAACTGTTGCATGTGTGTGTATGTGTATATCTGTATATACGCATATACACATATGTGACCGTATGTGCGTATGCACGTATGTATGTATGTATGTATGTCTGTCTGTATGTATGTACTTA